GAATTACACCCTTTGTGTGTGTGTACCTGCCTGAGCTGGAGGACCTGGAGGACGGAGGAATCAACAAAGAAGAAAAGATTCTTTCTCTGCTCTGTGGGAGATGGAATGGGAAGTAGGAGTAGTTTTGTGCTGAGTGTTATTCTGATATTAAAGATAGTTCTTTTTTTAAACAACTTGCAAATCTTCACTTTGATGATCAGCTGGAGAAAGAGCAGTCTGGGCCAACACTGGGAAAACTGGCTGAGCTGGACTTAACTGCAGTGTGTTGAGCTCTTTTGAGGTACCTTCCTATGAGATTTTCAATGGTAATTTCAGCTATTCCTGACGTTTGTCCTATTAGCTGATTTGAAGATTTTATGTATCGGTGAGGTTGCTATACTGCTGTGCTATGAAATTGGTATACATTAAAAAAACTTATTACCCAGCTGTTTAGTTCAGTAGTCACAGCATGTCAGGGAGAGAGTCGTTACTTAAGAAATTCTTTGAAGTCTTATCAACTATAGATAGAGTACAAAACAACTGATGTTCCACTTTTAACTTAGTAATTGCCTCTGTTGAAAAAATTGCAGAAAACTGTTAAGGGCATCTTATCACGTTGTATTTCATACTTTTATAAGATGTTAAAGAGATTTTTATTTTTAAGCACTTTTTTTTATTCAGAAGAAATTTAATCAACAATTTAGTCTTATTTCCCCTATAGGTATACTTTAAGCATTCTCAAACAATTGAAAATAATTTTCATTAAAAATAAAAGAGGCTAAATGGACTTAAAATAATTACTGCTCTATAAGCAATCAAAATGATCGCTTTTGTGCATGAAAATGATTTTGTTGGCAAGATTTTTTTGTCTTACTATTTTAAAGTACATTTTCATTATTAAAGGAGGCGTAACGTTTGAAAACATAAACTGTTTAGAGTCCTGAAATTAGGCCTAACCTACCTGTGTGTTCAAGAACCCTTTCTGCATCAGTCTTGTGGCGGCCCCGCCGTCACAACACCAACGTACCTGAGTTGGGGAGTGAGGATTGAGAAAGGACAGCACACTCAATGGTGTGGAGACAAGAGGTCCCGTTTATTTCACAGAAACAGCTCCTTTTTAAAGGCAGGCCAACAGGAAGCACCAAGCAACTATTAGGGAGGAGATCAGATCTTTGGCTGAGTTCCTCCCATCACAAGGTCAAATTTACCAAAATCCTTGAGCCAGGCGTGGTGGTGCACGCCTGTAATCGCTTAAAACCAGCCTGGATTACACAGTGAGTTCAAGGTCAATTTCATCTGCATAGCTGAGACCCTTGTCTCAGAAATGCCAAATAAACAAACAGATAGAGTCATAGATTAAGAAGTTACTTTTCCAATGTCAAATGCCAGCAGGCTCCCACAAGTCTGTAGAATAGCCATTCATCGCTTCTTTAAACATTTCTATAATGTTGTATATCTTTGTTCATTTCATGATTAGGTAGGTAGTTCTGTTCAATGTAATTAATATGATCAGGGTCAAATGTGGCATGTGCCCTGAGCAGCTTTTGCTCCTCAAAATTCTGAGTCTTACAAACAGTTTCACTAATTACTTGGGATTGTAAAAATCACTTGGAGTGCATGAGAAAAAATTGAGAGCTCATTGTTTAACTTTCTACCCAGGATAAAAATCACTTTATAGTGTACCGATACCATCCTAGTGCTAGAGTAATACAGATGTTCAATTAACACAGATTACTGGATATAATTTCTGCGTACTGTTGCTCTTAAGAAAGTGGGTTCTCTGTGTTTGAGGAATGTCTTGGGACTGCAAAACCTTACATGGGTAGGGATTGGGAGAAACGGGCCTAAACTGAGCTTGAAAAACCAAAGCTGACTTGGACATGAAAGTGTCATGGAGTTTTAACCTCATACTAAAGGTGCATTGGCGTGAGGATTGAGAGTGAGGAGCGTGAGGACAAGACAGATTCTCTTGATTATGAGAGGAATGTGGCACCTTTGTGCTTTTACACACTGTGGAACATTTGGAGATGGTGATCATGATACATATGTATAGAAATTGCGTCTGTATTTGTAATGATACGAGAAATCTTTGACCAGTTAGGTAAAACTGATGAGAATTGTTACTCTTAATTCAATAAAAAATGAGGCATTATTAACTTCTGAAAATTAATATTTGTTTCTTCTGAAATTATCTTTTACACTAGAAATAGAACAAATTTGAGAATAATGTGTTTTTGTTTTGTTTTTTTTTAAATCTGGATTGAGTTCTAGAGTTCTTCAAAGACATTAAACTTTGTATTTGTGTAGTGTGTATTTGTTATTCTGCATTTGCAGGCTAGAAATAATGTTGACTACATATGTCTTGTCTGGTATTAAAAATGATTTAATGATTAAAAGTGAGTTTGAGATCCAGGGTGCCTAAAGATTATATTTAACTTTCAGTCCTTATTCTAAAGAGTGTTAGATGTCAGGGAAGAGGATGCTACAAGGTGCTCCTGGAAAAATAACGTCATGTTTTATTTTGACATTTTTCATAATGAAAAGCAAAATATTATTTGAGAGTCATAGGAATCATATGTTAGAAATTGTACATTGGGCTTACAATTGAGTTTTGGGTTATATGGGCTTTTACCTCTTTTCATTAGTGTAACACATAATTAACAGTCATCTATTTTCTGTCAGTTAAGTGAGGGCATTCTGCATTTCACTTCTTTGCAAAAACTGAAAAGTATATCGTATTCAGAAAGAATAGATCTAATCCAGATTAACTTTGCCTGGTCACTTCACATACAGCCTTGGGGCGAGACTTACAACGTAGTGTTGTTTTGGCAGTTGACTGATGTCTCTACTTATGTGTAGGAAAAGAGTTTTCTTCCTGTGGGTCCAAGCTTAGAGGGCTCTGCCATTTTCCTCACCATCATGAAGTCGTTCATATAGGGATTTAAATGTCCAGAGACTTTCTGGTCTAGAGCTTTTAGTTGTTTGAGCAGTTAGGGACCCATTTGAAAATCTGATGAAAATGATAGACATTCTACTTAGCAATTTGTACGGATTTGTAAATGTTTGTATATAATTTCAAAGGATCACATGTGTACTGCCCTATTTAAGGTTGTCCTTGTAGTGCGTGAGAGGTGCCAGGATAAATATCCATGATCTGTAGTGAATCTCAGCTCTGGGAGGTAATTTAACAGGCGTGTCTGGGTTATTTGCATCTACATTAGCTCAAATGATCTTACTTTTATCTGTGAGGATATTAACACTCTGACTGTATAATAACTTGAACCCACAACATTTCTAATTTCTTTCTACATTTCTATTTCTTTAGCTTCAAAACATTTTAAACCTGTTTTAAAATGAAAACTGATAAGTTAATAAACATAAATATACATGTTAATGAGTAATTTTGTATATAACTATCAACCAGGTCAAGAAATGGGACATTGCTGGCTCCCCAGTCAGAATACTCTTCTTTTTGGCAGATGTGGCCACTAATATGACTTAAAAGATGTTTCTGGTTAGGGTGGCACACACCTATAATCCCAGCACTGGAGCTGAGGAAGGAGGATTGCCAAGGTTAAGTCCAGCCTGAGCAATTTAGACCTTGTCTCAAAATAAAAGGGAATGGGGACTCAACAGTACAAATGTCCTGAGTTTCATCCCATCTGTCTGTCTGTGTCTCTCTGTCTCTGCGTGTCTCTCTCTCTCTCTCTCTCTCTGTTACACACACAGAAATGTTACTTTGTTTTTAAAAATAATTTTGCCATTTATATATTTGCCTCCAAGATATCTTCTTCTTTTAGGAAGTATAATATATGGATATGACCACTTTTGTTTTTCTTTTGTCTTTCAGCATTGTGTTTTATATATTACTGTAGATAGCTATAGTTTATTTTCATTATTGTATTATTTTCCACTTTATGACTATATCACAGTTTATTTGTTGTCATTTAAAAAGTAATCATGATATTTGCCTAAGAAAAACTTTTGGTTTTCTTACTTTTTGTCTGCCTTGAACCAACTCTTTATTAGCAGTGAGGTCGAGTAATAACCAGTATATTTATTATTTGTAAACAATTTGAAATTTAAGGGGTCAGAAATTTGGCTCAGAGGTTCTGCCATCTGTTTCACAAGTGCAAGGGCCCAAGTTCGATCTCCGGTACCAACAAAAAGAAAAAAAAAAGAAAGAAAGAAATTTAAGAAATTGAGCAAAATATGGGATGTACCTGTAGTCCCAACTATTTAAAAGGGTGAGGTGGAAGGGTATGTTGAGCTCAGGAATTTGAGACTAGCATGGATAGAATAGAATGATCTCATCTAAAAAATAAAAAGAGTGATTGAAATCAATAAACAAGTTTATCTGTTGTTTTTAAAACTCCAGTCTATATTTTTCTTTTAAATATTTTATATATTTATGTTCATGGCCATTACAAAAGTTAATTGGACAAATTACACAAACATTTGAACATTTTACTATGTGCCAGGCATCCTTGTAGGTGCCAGGACTATACTGTTTTATCAGACATGTATTTATTTTATTTTTTATTGTTAAAATTGAATAGATGTGTTTTTGGCTAACAAAAGATCACTGTACACAAGAGTATAAAAATGAAAATTTAGACTCTGTTTCTTCAGCCCTGTACCCAGTTTTATACTTTTGGACTGTCTTCTCTAGAAGAAAATAAGTAATAATTTAAAATGTCTATATACTTAAATGATACAGTAAAATTTTACTTTACATCTCTTGCATTTTTTCAATTTAAGTGATATATCTTGAAGATTTCAAGAATGTAAGCATTTGTTTTTAATTAGGAAATGGCCAGAAACTTAAATTGGTTGAATGGAAAAATAGCATAGACCTTCTGTTTTCATTTTTCTAGACTAACCTCCCCAATTCTTTATAGATTAAGAGTCTTGGGAAATATACTTTTATAAATGATATTAAAAATCATAATATGTATTTATAGGACATGATAAAACTTAAAAATTTAAATTGCTGTGTATATGTATTGTTATTTCCTTAGGCATTGTTGGAGACCATGTTTGGTGTAAAAGTGATAATAACAGGTGATGCATTTGTACCCGGAGAAAGAAGTGTCATTATCATGAACCACCGGACAAGAATGGATTGGATGTTTCTATGGAATTGTCTGATGAGATACAGCTACCTCAGACTGGAGAAAATATGCCTCAAAGCCAGTCTCAAAAGTGTCCCTGGATTTGGTAGGTTATTTACATGTTATTTTAAGTGGATCACTTATTTTATATGTAATTATATCCACTATAAAACTATAACTTGGTGAGATAAACTCAAATATAAAAGTCATTTGCATTTCTTCCTCACCAAGCTAAAAACAGTCCCAGTGGACGTGTTTTGACAGATGACTTTATTTTCATCTTTTTTTTTTTAAGTTATCTTACATTGAAAGAGGAAATAAACTTCTCAAGGAAGTGAATATAGTTTCTGAGGACCAGCACTTTGAAGAATATAAATTAATGGCTCTATAACTTTTGTTGTAGAGGGTTAGAACTGTGGACTGAGCCCTGGGCCTTCACACTGAGCTAGATCCAGTTCTTTTTATTTATTTATTTATTTATTTATTTTTTGAAACAGAGTCTTGCTACACTTCCCAGGCTGGGGTGGAATTTGCCATCCTACTGCCTCAGTGGTGGGATTACAGGCACATACCACCACACCCAGTGCAGTTCAGTAACTTTTCATTGCATGTCATGTTTATGATATAGGTTAGAAACCGGTCTGTGTTTATGATAAGATACTTGAAATTAACCATTATATAGTCATCTAATAGTAATCAGATGAGATCGGGCGCATTCAGGGTGGTATCTAATATTAATCAAACACTCATTGGTTGCAAAAAGTTATACTAGGGGCTGATATTTTCTGAATTTCCATAATTTTTTTTTGTCTTTCAATTGTGCTTGTATACTATAACATTAAACTCTTATGTTTGTTTACTCTGAATAGTTAAGAATACATTTTTACTTTGTGTCCTAGAATTAGGGTTATTTCAGTATCATGTGTCAGAATTTTCCCTTTTTCAACTTACAAGTTAACATGAAATAAGGGGAGGGAACAGATGTAAATAAATGAGCACTGTCTATGAAGCTTCCACTCTACTTCCTAACACCGCTATTTATTACAGGATACTTCTGTGATTTCCCTAAGTAACATTTCCTATTTGAACTCTTGCCCTCTGAGCTATGTGTTTTTCAGTGTTCTGACATGATTTCTGACTTAGACATTATCATCCTCGATGTAAACTAATAAGGGGGTTTGTGGTTGATTTACTAGGTTTGTTCATGGATTTTCTTCTTGCTTTGCCACTTTTCTAATATAATGGTCTCAGAGTAATCAGATTTCTTTATGGCAATTGGCTTTCCTTAAAGCAATTCCCAAAGATCCCAGCAAGGTATACAAAGTATTTATAGTGTCTCATCACCCATATATTATTGCTGAATGCAGTGACTGTCCTGAAAGATTTTAGAAGAGGCAGCACGGACCTCACCTTTTTATGAGAGCTATGTCAAAAATCTCAATTTTAAAAACTGGCACATTTCTAAAAAGGACTGATCAAGAAATAAAAGCAAAGCCATGTATTGCCAGTAGTGACAACGATAATGTCTTATTTATAATTTCTAAATCTGTGTGAAATCTAGTAACAGGATATTAAGAATAACATTATGCCAGGAAGTTTGAAAGTGTTTATGAAATCAACAAATCATACGGAAAAAAAACATAACTGACGGACTCTGACAACAATGACAAGAGATGGAAAATAAAATGAAAAACTCACAGTTTGTCTAAATCAGAGATTTAATCCATAATCAAAAGCTTTCTCGTATAAGGGTTTGAAGGACAATGGCAGCTGCCTGGTTTTCTTCACTCTCTCAAAAATAATTATCAAATCACTGAACAGAAGAAATAAACTACAGACACCCTTCTCTTCAGCATGCTAGAGGTAAGAACAATGCCTGCCTTAAGTATAGAAATCTCCACAGTTCACTCTGCCCTCTCATATTTGTAAGCCTGTGGGTACTAGGAGTGGGGGGAAAATACTAAAGAGTGGAGGAGCATAAGCAACTCAGAATAAACACAAACAAAATCATCCCTAGAAAGAAAAAGCCTGATATTAAATGCAAAAATATTGAAAACAGGCCAAGATAGAATAATTCACAGCACAAGATATGGAGAAATGATTGAGAAGACTGGGCCCAAAGTGGAAGGCTGCAAGAATTGCTCTTGAGGGAGAATCAGATACGTAAAGAAGGGGTAGTTCTCCTTAGCAGTGGGGCAGGAAAGTGAAAGAAGGTAATTTTTAAAATTAAGGATACTGCAAAAAAAAAAAGGTAAAGGAAACCAAGAAACAACTTCACTCCTCTTCCAAAAGGTAAACCCACAAAAAAACAAATAAAGACTTTTCCATGCATTAAGGAAACCTCTAAAACAGGACAGAACTGGAAATAATAAAGTACTGTAAGACTCTAAAGTGAATTTATATCATCAGGCAAACATTTAGGGATTTATTAGGGTTCTCTAGAGGAACCAGATCAATAGGATGTGTGTATAATTATAAAAGGGGATTTACTAGATAGGCTTACAGAATCAGAGGCTGAATAGTCCCACTGTGGCCGTCTACACACTGCACAGCCAGAGGAAATGGAAGCTGTTCAAACCGAGGAGCCAAGAGCCTCAGAGTGAGGGGGAACCAATGATACAGCCCCAGTCTGAGCTGAAGGGATGAAAGTACGGAAGAGTCTGAGAGTCCACAGCAGAAGATGGAGGAAGCTGGAATTTGATGTCCACAGGCAGCTGCAGCAGCAGGGCGCATACTTGAGGAGAATCAAGTTTGCTCAGATGGCTGGCTCCCTCCTTCCACTTTTGCTCACCTGGGCTCCCAAGTAGCTGTTACAGGCATGTGCCAATATGCCCAACTAGATGTATTTAAAATATATTTGTACTAATGTCTGTTAATTTGACAAAATACTGAGTTTCAGTGTTTTATTTTCCAATATGCATATAACATTTGATCAGATCCATCCCCCCATTTACCTTTCTTTTGTACCCTCCATCCTCCCCTTATTTTCTTCCTCTTAATCTGATAATAGCCTTCCTTCATTTTGTTTTGTTTTGAAGATTCCGTATATTAGGGAAAACATGATACTTGTCTGAGTCTAGCTTATTTTGCTTAACATGGTGAGTCCCAGTTCTATCCCTTTTCCTGCAAATGAAACAGTTTTATTCTTAAGTCCTAATACTACTCCACTGTGTGTGTGTGTGTGTGTGTGTGTGTGTGTATCACATTTTATTCATTCATTTATTCATTCACTGATGAACACCAAGGCCAATTCCATGTCTTGATGTTTTGAATCTGTACCACAGTGTCTATTGTGTAGGCACACAGGAACTCCTGGGGGTCTAGTTCTAGTCTTCTACTGCTGACCTTAATCCAGTATAACAAGGTGTGTGTTCTATTTTTGGCTTTTTGAGGAACTTCCATACTGATTTCCATAGTGGTTGCTCTAATCTACATTCCCACCAGAAGTGTAAAAGTGTTCCTTTTTTAAAAAAATCATTTATTGGTTTGTTTTTCCATTCTTGATGATAGCCATTCTGTCTGGGGAGAGGTGGAATCTCAGTATGTTTTGATTTACATTTCTCTGATGGCTGAAGGTCTTGAATATTTTTTTGTATACTTGTCATTTGTCCTGCTTCTTTTAGAAATATTCAATCCATTTATCCATTTATTGATTGGGCTGTTTGATTTTCTGGTGTTAAGTTTTTTGAGTTCTTTGTACATTCTAGATATTAATCTTTCATCGGAGTAGCCGGCAAAGATTTTTCTCCAACTCTAGGCTGTCTCTGCATTGTTCATTGCTTTTCTTCTGGTGCAGAAACTTTCTAATTTGATGCAGTCATATTTATCAATTTTTGGTATTTCCTATGATGTTGGAGCCCTACTTAGAAAGTCTTTGCCGGTGTCTATGATGTCAACTCTGCCCTGCATTTTCTTCTAGCAGTTTCACAGTTTCAGCTCTTATCCCCAAATGTTTGATCCATTTTGAATTGATTTTTGTACAAGGTGAGAGATCGGAAACTAGTTCCAGTTTTCTTCTTGTGGATGTCCAGTTTTCCCAGCAGCATTTGTTAAAGAGGCTTTTATCTAACATGTGTTTTTGGCTTCTTTGTCAAGGGTCAGATGGCTGTAGTGGTATGGATATATGTGTTCTCTGTTTATTTCATTGGTCTGTGTGTCTGATTTTGTTTTAGTACCATGCTATTTTTATTACTGTGGCCTTGTTGTGTAATACAAGATTGGGTACTCTGCGCCTCTAGCTGTACTCATTTTTTTTGGTAACAGGGATTGAATTTGGGACCTTGTGCTGTGAGGCAGGTGGTGGAACCAATGAGCTAAATCCTGGACCTTGGTTTACTCTTTTTACTAAGGATCGCTTTGGTTATTTTGGATCTTTAGTGTTTCCATATGAATTTTAGCCTTATTTTTTCTATTTTTGTGAAGAATATCATTGGATTGATGAGGATTGCATTCAATCTCTAGATTGCTTTTGGTAATATGGCCATTTTAACGATATTAATTTTGATGACCTATAAACATAGGAGTTCTTTGTATCTTCTAGTGTCTTTTGTGTTCTCTCATTTTCATTATAAAGGTCTTGTACCCCTTGTTTAGGTTCGTTCCTAGGTTATTTATTTACGAAGCTTTTGTGAATGGATTTGTTTTCCTGATTTCATTCTCAGGAAGAGTGTTAATTGGTGTATAGAAAAGCTTAGATTTTTAAATGCCAGTTTTGTATCCTGGATTCACCTGTCCCTTACTTAAGTTGTTTCCAGTCATTAGCAGTTACTAACAATGTGGGGGTGCTTTTTGTCTGTGAAATATTTCACATAAGACTGAATTTGTCAGTAAGAATTAAAGATAGGTGCGAGAATGAGAGAGATCATACGAATTCTAGTCATAGGAGTTGAAGCAGTATGTACTGCAGTCAGCAATACATGACTGTTTCATCACACTGTGACCAACATAGTGCAATGAAATCTTTGTGCCTTTGTCAGATTTGTAGTAGGATGAGAAGGGTAATGTTACTATAGGTAAGGTTGGGCATTTTTCTACTGGAATGATGATTTTTATCCTGTTGGATTGTATAAATTCCAAATAGAAATATTAGTCTGCCTCTCTGGGTTG